TTACTCATCAAATGACCCAATGTATTCACCACCATTGCCTGTTCAGATGCACTTCAATTTGTACCATGTTTTTCTTTCAACCATGGTCTAAAAATGCTCAAACACATCTAGAACTTGATCTTTAGCTTTTAGTGCAAAAGTTCAAACTTTCCTTGCATAATCATCAATGAACATAACAAAATAAAGTGCACGATTATGTGTTCTAACTTTTAAAGGACCACAAACATCCGAATGAATCAATTCCAAAGCATTTTCTTTTCTAGAAGCAACATTTTTTTTAAAAAAAAAACTCTATGTTGTTTGCTTGCCAAGCAATGAACATAAGTTTTAAGATGCGTACCTTTTAAACTGGGTAGTAGTTCTTTCTTGAACAAAACTTGCAACCCCTTTTCACTCATGTGCCCAAGTCGCTTGTGCAACAATTCCTCAAGTGCATTGATAACACATTTACAAATTTTTTCTTGCATCGAATAAAGTGTGTAAGTCTTCTTGCACTTAGCCACGACCAAAGAACCCTTTGTGAGCTTTCATTTTCCATCACCAAATTTGTTATCGTAGCCTTCATCATCTAGCTTCCTAGTAGAGATCAAATTAAGGCGAATGTCTAGAACATGCCTCACATCTTTAAGCAACAATTTGCAGCCCAAATTTGTTTCCAAGCAAACATCACTCATGCCAACAATCTTGGACAAACCTTCATTACCCATTCGAACACACCCATAATCTCCTTTGGTGTAGATAGTGAAGAAATCAACCCGAGAAGTCACATGAAAAGAAGCACCATAATCAATCACCCTATTGCTCTCTTGGTCCACAAAATTAACACAATCATCTTCACAAACAACCATGAGATTACCATCAATAGTAATTGTTGTTGTGTCTTCTTACTTCTTATTCACACTTTTGTCATGCATTTTCTCCTTGTTCTTGAGCTTTCGGCATTTCTCGCTTCATGTGCCCTTTCTCATGGCAATAATGGCACTCAATGTCTTTCTTTGAAAAAGAACCATCTCTTGATTTGTCATGGCTTTGATCATGACCATGAAGAGTCTTACTCCTCCCCTTTGTTTTGCTTTGGCCTTTTACAACAAATGCCTCCGAATGAGGAGAACCCATAGATTTTCTTCTAGTTTCTTCATTCAACAAGCTACTAGTGACTTGGCTCATTGTGACAATTTCATCGGACGCCGAATTACTAACCGTCACAACCAAAGTCTCCCAACATTCAGGTAAAGAACTAAGTAGCATCAAAGCATGCAACTCATCATAAAAAATAATGTTCATGGAAGTAAGTTGGTTAACAATACTCTTTATTTCATTTAAATGTTCCGAAATGGGGCAGCCATTTTTATATTTTAAATTAACCAACTTTTGAAATAGAAGTATAGATTGATGAGTTAAAGTATATAAGTTATGTGATTGATGTCAATAGAAACGATAATGAATCGCCAATTTGGGTTGTTAACCATTAAGTGATTGGGAATAAGTTCGATTTATGAAGAGAAAGTCCAATGAAAAAGGAAGTTACGTAGGAAAGGAATGAACGAGGCTAAGTATGTAACTGATTTTCTGTCACGCCCCCAACTCGCCCCTGAAAGTTTGGGCATGACCTATGCAGAAAAGGACACTTAACCTGATATATATATATATATATATAACGTAGGGGCCTGAACGGAAGCATTGTAGTAATCATAGAATAGTACATAAGAAAGTATGACATCCATTAAGCTATCACTACCATGCCAGGATCACAGATATAGCATAAGACGAACAGACATAAGGAGATACACGTTTGAGAACTAGTTATATACATATGCATATACAGAACCAGCCCCATGGTTGGGCGTATAACAAAAACATTATATACATTCCTCTTAAGCCAATAACTAGAGTATAAGCCATAATCTAGCACAACATCACAAAAATAAACGGCTTCGAGCAGGTGCCTGGCTATGCCTAGGCTGACAAAAGTATGACGACGCCAAGTCTAGGACTGACCTCCTAATTGGTTACCTACAGAAACAGACATAACATAGAGTGGGCTAAGCTCAGTGGACAATAGTACATACATGCTTCACTACTCATATATAGATAACAACGTAAAGGAAACAGTAATCACATAATTAGTCTGATTCCGTATTACTTGAACGACATTGTCGGTTCCACAACTTTACAAATTGGCCATTGGCCTGATAGGTTCACACCTACACAAATTAGCTTTTGGCTTCTTAGATTCATCACTTATTACATCAGTCTTCGGCCTCGTGGATGCACAATTTCACAAGTTGGCCCTCGACCTCATAGATTCATATTTCACATAGTTCACAAGTCGACCCTCGGCCTCATAGTCATAGTTTCATGTTTCACATAGTTCACAAGGCGGCCCTCGGCCTCGTAGTTTTGTAACTTCACAAATGGCCTTTGGCCACATAGGATCATAACTTCACAATTCCTTTTGATGTTTTCATAATTTCACAATGTGTCTCAAATTCATAACTTCATATTGGTTTCTAAATAGCATACATATTAAACATAACGTCAATAACAATAATGATTAACGTGATTGAGGTACATCGAGTACTATTACTCACTATGTTGCGGCGGGGCACTAGTTCCTCTTGACGTGCTTCCTATACACACAAAGATTCACATTAGTTCATCTTTTTCTTGTTAAATAGTTCCTGAATCACATCTTCGAATGAATTTTCAACCATATTATCAAAAAAACATTTTAAAAATATCAGAGGGTCGAGCACGCAAAACAGAACCGGCATGCTTTCCGACCTGGGCTGCACGTGCGGCAGCCCCCTCCGCACGAGCGGACATGGACCGCACGTGCGGTCCCCCTCCTCCGCACGAGCGGCCGTAGACAGTAGGCAACCTAGATTTTTTCCCTCTCCTCCGCACGTGCGGCCATGGCCTCCGCACGTGCAGCCATGGCCCTGTTTGGCAGTCCGAAAATTCTGAAAAATCCCACTTTTGGTGAGCATCAACAAGGTCTAAATTAGATCCTTTAACTGCCAAAACAAGGTTCCAAAATCATTACACATACATGATGATTCTCAATATAAACTAGCTCTTAACTTCACAACTCAATTTGATTCATCAAAACTTTAAATTCATAACTACCATCCAATTCCTTTTTCCTTGATTATTCTCACACACACACACACACATATATATATATATATATATATATCTACATAGAGCCATATGTTTCTATATTTGAGTTCAAACATAACAATTCAAGGAAGTTAGACTACAATACTCAAAGATAGGATGATCTTATCAATTATGTAACATAAACACATAAGAGTCCTTATGTCCATAAACATAGCACAATTCATAAGTAGAATTACATGAATTTGGCATGGAAACTAAAGATTGAAGTAGAATTCTACACAACACTTAAATTAGATCCCAACCCAACCCATTGATGAGCATATCTTGATAATCACAGAAGAATCTCACACAACTCTCCATTACAACCCTAGTAGCTCCCATAAGAAATTGACAACCCTTCCTCACAATTGAAAGGAGAATTTTTTACACATGGTTAAGAGAAAGTTTAAGCAAAATTAATTTCACATACCTTGGCTTCACAAATCTCCAAGATCCTCCTAATTAATCTCACCTCCTTCCTTGTTGACCTTTCTCTTTTCTCTTATTTCATTTGTTTTTCCTCTCCAGGAGATACTTCAAGTTTTGATCACACTTAAGAAGACTTGAACTTATATAGATTCATATATAAAGCATATAAGACAAAATTCAATCGTTTAATCATTCTGAAATTAAAATTTCGTAAACATGCTTAATATTACTTAAAAATTATGCTGATCACAGATAAATAATCAATTTTAGATAATTAAGCCTCTAGGGCTTCTAATTTCTGATTTAACATTATAATGGTAACAGATGCTTTTCCTCATTAAACAGATACAAGTTCGATTCATAAGGCTTATATACTTAAACTTAATTTCTCATGCAGTGTCACATTAAGCATTTGTAAGAACAGAATAAAGACTAAAATACAGCAGAATCACATGCGAGGGTTTGGTTATTACATTTTCGGTACAAGTATCTTAAGTTTGGAGGACCAAACTCCCTAAGGGGGGAAGGCTGTAACGACCCCATCACGTATGCTGATTAGCACTTGACTAATAAAGAGGATTTGAAATTTAATTGCCGGGTATTATAATTTAATTTTGGATTTATGAGAATTGTGAAATCCGACTCGTATATGATTCCAATGAAGATTTATTTTAAAATTAGAAATTAAGAGTCCAAATGGCTTAAGGAAGTGAAGTTAAGAAGTTGAATCAATTTAATCCTAATTATGGATCTATTTGGGAGTTTAATTAAATATTCGTTTCAGTTTAGTAAAATTTAGATTTGATTAATTAGGTCCGAATTGGAGTTAATTAAGTTATACGAATTTAGAATTAAGATCATTATGAATTAAATTTATTTATGGGGTGTTCAATTGGAATACGTAAATTAATTGACGGAAATTGGGAGTCTGATCAGAAATTGAAAGCCTAAATGATTTAGGAAATCAAAATTGATGATGGCAACAAGTTTGATTTATTATTTGGAGCCTTTTGGGAGTTTGATTAAAAATCTGATTTAGACTGATAATTTAAATATAATTAATTGGGCCCTAATGGAAGTCAAATTAGATTGTTTAAGTTATGAGAGATTTATGATTAGTTATGGTTAATTTAATTATATGTTAATCAAGACTTTTTAAGAATATGTATTATTTAATTAAATCAATCTTAACCTTAAATTAAATTATGGAAGGATAAAAAATAATGGGTGTACATGAAGTGAGGGTGTGCTGAGAAACCCAAGTGTGTGTTCAAAGGAATCTGTTGTGTTTGCATGTGAGAGTGTTGTGCTGGAAATCAAAAAAAGAGTGCACGTGTGCTGTGTTGTTGACTAAGAAATGAAATCAAAAAGAAAAGGAGATGCATGTGTGCTGGGCTTAAGAAAAGAGAAGAGCCGAGAGAGAGGGTGAGAGAGAAGTCCAACTTTTATGCTGGAAAAAGCTTTGGAGAAATGGGTGTATGAGATCTAATTGAAGATAAAAGAGAGAAATCAAGGAATTAAAAAGAAATTTAGTCATGGAAGGTTAAAGGTAAGGTTTTTAATCTTGATTGTTGTAGAATCCTTGTATCACACTTGAAATTAAAGATGGAATTGGACTCAAAATCATGTAATTAATAAGAATTAGCAAGAAGATGAAGAAATTTTGAATTATGTTTTGAGATCATAGAAATATATTTGGAAATTAATTAGTTAGAGTTTGATTTCTATTATTCTTCACAAATTGAAACTCATCCTTGCATGCATGTTGGATTTGAAGGTTTTAGATTTAATTCATGTGTAAAAGATTGATAAGTTTAAATTTGGGTTAGGTATGAAGAAAATTTGTAAAAACCTAAATTAGAGTAATTCAAGGATTAAATTATGATTTGCTTGGGAAAAATATAAAATCAGTAATTTTGATCCTAATTTCACATATGCAGACATTTCTTTAAAAAAGTTTATAATTTCAATTCCATGATTTAAGAAGAATTAGTAAAATGATGAAGGAATTGAATTGGATTCAAAATTATAGAAGGAAATTGGGTTTTAAACATGAAATGGGTTGCATGCATGTGGGTGATTATGGTAAATAAATTAGAAATTAATTATTTTGGGTATGATTTTGTAGCCTTGCATAAGATTAAGCCTCATTGTTACATGCATGGGCAAACTAATATTCTAATTACAACATGCATCATGAATTTTGAAGAAATTGAGCCATTTAAGTTCATATTTTGAAGAGAAAAGGGAAATGTTTTATAAATATCAAGTTTACGGAAATTTAGAATTAATCATAATGTTAGACAAAGTTTTGATTTATAATTAGATTTTAATCTATGCATGTAATTTGAGATTTTATTTAAATTAAACATATTTTGGGACATCTATGATTATGAATTAAGTTACGTTTAAGATTATGGAAATTAGTTGGAAAATTTATAAGAATATAAAATTAGTAATTTTGATGTCAATTTCATACATGTGAATAATTTTCAAAGGAATTTATGACTTTAATTTCATGCTTTGAAGGAAAATAGAAAGAGCTTGAAGTCAATTTTATGTAACTAAAAAGAAAATGAGAGATTGGAGCCATGGTCAATTTATGGAGATTAATTTAGAGGTTAATCACTTTGGGTTTGGAATTTGGCTTGATATGGAGAAAATGAATTAAAACTAAATTTGGACAATTGGAGCATGATTTTGAATGAATGATTTCTAATTGAAAGTGTTTACTAAATTATCTAATGGTTCTCCCTTTTTGTGTACCAAAAGTACATGTTTTGAGGCTTTGAATACCGAATTCGAACTTCAATTGCAATTTTGGAATTTCAGAATTTACGTTGTCTGCTCGAGCGAGGAAAGTCTCGCTCGAGCGTGAAAATCGAGCTCTCAGAAGTTTTTCAAATTTTACAGTTCGCTCGAGCGACCAAAGTGGCGCTCAAGCGGAGACCCATTTTCAGCATATTTTGGAAAGTTGCATTTAGTTCATATTTTTATTCTCATCTCTTCCCAAAACATTCTAGACATGATTTATGACTTATTAAAGATTAATGAGCTACCAATCAGCATAGATTAGTTAGTTAAAGAACGAATCATTGATCTAGTGGTAATTGTTTAAGAAGCCTAGTAAAGGATCAATCTATTTGGAAAAGAAGGGCTTAGTAATGAAAGAATATGTGAAATAAGAACCCGGTTTATTCAATGAATAAGAAAGAATAAGCATAGTAGAACTTCAGACTGTATAGACGGGAAAAGACTAGGAAAGTCAAGTTTGATCAAGGGTGTAATATTGTATTTCAATGTGTATATGTTATGTGCTTGTGTAGGTCATGGGCCATTGTCTGCCTGATTTATCTGATATGCCCAGTCTATCTGATTTGCTTCTGCAGCCATCTGTGAGTAATAACTTAGTAAAATTATGTTCAACTGTCTCTACCTTCTGTCTGATAAAATAAAATCTGTTTTCTGAAGTGATATGTTCTGCACAATGAATGATTGTCCAATTTCTGTTATGTATTCGTGACATCCTTAGCATCATGTGATATCTATTGGCTGTTACCCGGTATCTGAGGTTCCTTTATGGAACTTATGTCTGTCTGCACTCTGTTACCTGTATCGAAGGCCTCGTCATGGGGGCTCAGCTTCTGTTCTGTTACCCGGATCCGGAGGTTCCTTTATGGAACTGGTTATTTGTAACCTTACGCGTATGCGTTCTGTTCTATTCTGTTCTGTTCTGTTAATGCTAATGGATGTATCACGTAAACTTAAGCATGACTTATGATTTCTGTATATGATCTGGGCAAAGTATGATTTTGATACGAAACTAAATTATGATTTCTGAATCTGTACGGACTCATTCATTAAAACCCTTTACTCTGTTATTATTCACTGGGCTTTAGCTCACTGTATTATTTATGTATGTAGGTGATCAAGCGTGTGACCAGGCTTAGAGGCTTCTGCCTAGAATCAGTTTTGTTAGCCAACCTATGTGCCTCCCGTGGAGGTTCCGAATATGTCAAGTGATTATTGCTATGTGATCTAAAGTTTAAGTTTTATTTTTGTGTTTGGTTGAACAAGTCTTGTGTATTTTGTAGATAGGGTTAAGTCCCTTTTTGTCTAATCTGTGTTTATATGGCAACTTAAAGTTAATGTGTATATGTGTATATAAAAAGTTTAAAATTTTTCTGTCTCATATAAGTCTGCACAGCTCAATGGACGTTGTATATTGTTATTTGCTTCCACTAGCCCCAAATATTATGTTAATCTGTCTCAAAGGCCTTCGGTAATCCCAGGATTACTGGCCGGTTACGATGCTAAACCTATAGGGGTGGGTTTGGGTCGTGACACTCTCGCACCAAACACATTGACATTCGTCATCATTTTATTCGAGAGTTAGTGGAAGAGGGCCTTGTTGTTCTTGAACATGTTCCCACAGAGCATCAAAAAGATGATATTTTTACAAAACCCCGTGATCTTCCTCGGTTTGAGTTCTTTAGAAAGACCTTGGGTGTCATGCTCGATCACTAGAGTGTTACTTGTTCCTTGAATAGGTGTGAATGTTTGGCTTTATGTGTGCTTAGATGCTATATCTCGTTGTCATTGATCTATGTTTTTTCATGCATCCAACTTTATTTGTACACTACTCGTGCGGCTTACAAGATTTCATTGTTCTTTGTTCATAGCTCATTTTGAATGCCCATGTTCATTAACCTCATGATCTCATTCTGTACACATCCTTGAGATAAATCGTTGCAGGGGTTTCCGCACAAGTGATCAAAGGTCTCTATGGACCACTAATAGTGTTTCTTTTACTTTTACAGTGGAATTGACCGATACTAGTATATCATGGGTGATGTTGAGTTTCTTAGCCATCTACCATCATTTTTCACTTCCACGGTTTCTCCTTCAGTTCCTTGAAGTCCGAGCATTAGGAAAAGGCTACCTCAGAGGCACCAACCAGGCCATCCTTTATGATTTCATTCTTCTCTAGTTTGGTTTCCATACTCTTGAGCATGAATGCCACCAGTGAGTGCCCACAAGAAAGAAAAAAAATAAAATAAAAAAAATGAACTCATTAATTGAGGGGGAGCCTCCGCATTTACTCAACAAATATCCCGTGATTCCTAGTGGTTTGACTTTTCTCTGTGATGTCTAGTGACACTTGCCGGAGGTCCAGCCATCCGATCACTACGAGGATTAACTCTAGCTCAGTGGCCTCTCAAGGAGTGCACACACACACCTTCATTTTGTGAGCTCTCATGTTGAATTTTGAGCTGTATATTCTCATGAAGCTTATGATCATCGATTATATTTTATCTACTTTGCTCATGATTTCAACTGTCATTTTTTTTTTTCAAAATTGCAAGTTTACAGGTTTCATGATGTGCGGATTATTTCATCTTAGTATCAATTTTGGCTAAATGTGATCATTTACTTGTGTTTCAGGTCTCGCTTCATGATATTGAGTATCTTGTTTTTTTTGTTTTTAAATATTAAAAAAAAAAAAGATTTTGGTTTTGATTTTTCTCTTCTTCGCTCAAGCAACAGAGTACTCGCTCGAGTGTGCTTCTGCTACTGAGTTAGACCTGAGAGTGTGTGTTTTTGGCTCGAGCGACAAGTTCTTGGCTCGAGCGAACCCTTGCGCATAATTTTCCTTGCTCGAGCGAGAGAGTTTTCGCTCGAGTGACCTGTCGAGGTTTAAATACTGCTTTTGCATCTCTTCGTCTCATTTTTTGCCCTCTTTGCTTCAAATGGTGTCTTTTTCACTCCCTTTGGGCGATTTCCTTCCTTTTGTGTTCCTCCCTTGGATTTCACTCGTGTTTGGGGGTTTTCTCTTCATCTGCATTCTCCGTAGTTGGTAAGTTTTTTTTCTTTGTTTTTTTCTTCTCATTTTGTAATATGACTGTGCCTCTGCTCTGTTATAATCTTGGATTCATCATTGTTGCTTTTGATTACTACAAACTGGTTTCGTATATTTCTCTTGCATCTAGGGTTTGTATTTTGGAGCATTTTACTAGTTTATCATTGCTAGGGTTTAATTTGGGGTTTTCATTATTTTTTGTCTAAATATATTGCCCTGTGATAATGTGATCTATTTTCATTACATTGTTGATTGAGTCTCTTCATCTACTGTTAATGGTTTTCATACATTGCTCCATCCGTGCTTGTTAGCTATTTCCCTAACTCTGGGTATCATTTCATTTATATTCTGCTATGGTTATGAGTTTTATTTTGTCTCACCCTGCTAGATTACTAATGTTGTTGCTATGCTCTTTGGTTTGGATTTGGGAATTTCCTATTTTTTATTGGGTCTCTTGTGTTGTGGGTTATGGGTTGTATAGTCATGGCTGAGTCTTCTAAACGTTGCAAGACGACTGTTTCCCGTCCTTCATTTAACACTGACAAATTCGAGTCCAAAGAAAAGTCTAAGTTGTTTAGGGAGTCTTATGCCACTCGTAAAGTCCATTTAGAGAGAAATGTCATCCCCAGTGCTTTTGAGGTACTTACCATTAAGTCCATATTCGATTCATTAGGCGGTGATCAAGTGTTGCATTTTTCGGGGCCACAAAATCTGAGTCTTATCCGTGAATTTTATTACAATATCCATTCCATTCGCAAAGAAATTTCGGCATCCTTTACCACTTGGGTTAGGAAGAAGTCTCTTGTTATCACTGGGGATGTTTTTCAGATGTTTCTTGATCTTCCCGAAGTCGGTGATTTTCATTTTCCTTTTCTTACTCGGACCAGTGTCAATTTTGATCGTGTTGCATCTGAACTTTGTGGTGTTGACCGGACTTGGCTCGCCGGGGCATTCATTCAGCAAAATGAGTTGCTTCCTCGGTTCTGTCTTCTGAATATTATTGTGTGTGCTAATCTTCATGTCACCACCCATTCCTCCCATATTACCCAGGACCAGGGTTATGTGTTGTATTGCATTCATCATAGACTTCCCATTGATCTTTCCGAGATGATAGTTTCCAAAATGATTGGGGTCTTTGAGGGTTGAAAGTCCTTGGGGCTTCCATATGAGTGTTTGCTCACTCGTTTTCTCACTTCTCTTAATATTCCTGTTTATGATGATGATGAGTTTGCTTCTCCTATCAAATCCATTACTAAATTGATAGTCTTCCAGAGTCAAGCTCATGTATGGGGGGGTGTGCAGGGGTTGGGATGTCTGATACAGGTGATGATGCATTCGCAGAGGAGGAGGAGGTTGATGCAGCCCCAGCAGGTGCACCTGATCTACCTGAGATGCGTCCTCGCTCATTTCATGGCTGAGATGCGTCCTCGCTCATTTCATGGCCAGCTGCAGCAATTTGAGCAGTCCGTCACTCGTCGCCTTGATCAGTTGGATGCCCAACTCGATACCCTTGACGGCCGCCTTGATCAGCAGAGTACCATGCTTGCTCAGATCCTATCTTTGCTTCAGGAGCAGCAGCCACCACCTTCTCATTCCTAGTTTTTGACCTATGGTTGTTTTTGGACAGTTTTTTTGTTATTTTCTTGGACAGTTTCTTTTGGTTTATACTTGTTTCTTTTGTCACTCCCGGACAAAAATGGGGAGTATGATTTTTGGGCAATATGGTTGGGGGGTATATATGTTTGGGATACTCATATGTTTTTGCAGCCAGGATTTATCTTTTTAGGGTGATGTATATGGGATACTCATGATATTTTTGCAGGCAGCACTTGGACAAGTTTATATGTTATATTGCATCTATAGCTGGGCTTCTGTTTACTTTTTGTCTTGATGGTTTCTTGTTTTGAATACCTATTCTCTCTATGTTTATTCTGTGCAGATTTTTTTTCCCCATCAAGATTGGTTTTATAGTTGGTTTTCTTTGAGTTGTAATTGTTTTAGCTAGTACATTTGTTTAGGAAATTGTCTTAGAAAGTTTTGTCTGGGTATTGACAAAGGGGGAGATTGTTAGGTCCCTTAGTGTTGTCAATCCCATGCACAAACTTGTGTGTTAGAGTTGTAAAATTTCCTGCTGTTTTGTCTTGCTCGCTCGAGTGAAGAAGTCCTCACTCGAGCAAAGACTGCGTCTGGGTAAAAACCTGAAAGAGATGAATGTGTGCTCGAGCGAAGCTTGCGTGGCTCGAGCGAAGAAGTGCGTCTGCATAAAAACCTGAAAGGGTTGATTGTTCGCTCGAGCGCAGGTTGCATGGCTCGAGTGAAGCCACTTATGGAAATCATGCAAGATAAGCTTCTTGCTCGAGCGAGAGAAGTTTTGCTAGAGCGAGCTTCATAGTCCAAGATTTCTATAAGTATTTGTTTTACTCCAAAACTAGAATTAGGTTTTCAGATCTACTTTGAGGTTTTCTAAGGTTTTCTTCTAGAGTATTTTTGTGAGTTTTTTCCTCGATAAATTGAGTGAGTATTAAACTCATGAATTGACAAGCAAATATCAAGGAGGTTGATTGAATACATACAAGAGTGTTATTCTTCAGTGGATTCCGAAGATTCAAATGTGGAGTGTCAAAGGAGTTTGATTCTGTACGTAGTCGTTGATTCGACAAGTGAAGTTGTGGATTCAACTTCAGATTAATCAGTTCCAAGACAAAGGCTTGGTGAAAGAGTTACAGAAGGTTTGAAGATAAATTGATTGAGTTGGGTAATTTGTGTGTTATCTTTGTAATCTTTCTTTCTTCAGTAGTGGATTGATTAGTGACGTTTCGCCCGTGGTTTTTGATTACAATTGAAGGTTCTTCAATTGTGATTTTTCCACGTAAAAATCGTTTGTGTAATGTAGACGTCCCCGAACGTCCCGGGAGGGAATCCCGTTCTGTTCATTGGGGCTCACTACAGTTTGGACTCAAATTGTCACGATTCTTAATCTGATCTTGCAAAGTGCAATGCAAGACTGATAAATCACCAAAGAGTCCAAATCCAGCAAATCGTTTTTGGAAAACAAATTTTTTTAGAAAGAAGTGCCAAACATGGACTGTTTTGCCAAATACAGCGTCGCTACCTAAATATTTATTTTGGGAGAATTTAGAAAACCCTGACTCGTTGCCTAAGGCCACGTGTCCATTATCACCAAAGTTGCCTCGGCTCGGGAACAAGGGTACGATTGGGGAAGGTCAGCTATGAGCACCCCCACTCACCCGATCAAAGATCGGCCTCTAC